TTTAAGCATTGATGATTCCTTTCTAGATGAGCAATCTGGTTATTCTATAAGCACTTATGCACCATCAGAGATGTAGTCTGAAAACAAATTGCTGATAACAAGCAGACTAGCCGCTCCCCTCTTTCATGTTTCCCAAAAGACAATTTCAATTAATCTGACCACAGAACAGTTTTCCCACTTTGCCTCAGTCCGTCTTAAATGAGTTTCAGCCCAGAGAAGATGGCACGTTTCTAGATCATGTTATCTGCATGAACTGTGTTCACAGACAGTGATTTCTGAAGTATTTTGAAGCCCGTGCAGCCTGTCCTATGAAAGAAACATGTCTTTTGTCAGTGCGGTGCTACCTGAGCTGTTAAAGATCATGGGCAGCCACTAATAATTTTTGACACAATTTTCTGCAGACTCTGGGGATTTTTTTGGTAATATTACATATTATAGAGATTCAGTCTTCACAATGTTATGTTGAAGACCATTATTCTAAAATTGTTCCACAATTTGTAGACAGATTTTTGCAGATTGGTGAATTTCTGCCCAAACTCTCTAGGACACCTTCTGCAGTTTCTTTTTAGTATAACTTCCTTTTCCTGTCTATTTTTACAGGTTGCTGCGATAAATTTTAAAGTATGCCAATATTTTTCTTGAAATTGTAAAATGTCTCACTTAAAACTTAAAATAGTTGATGTTTTTATGTTCTTTTGTAAATAAAATATGGGTTTATGAGTTTTGCACATCTTTGCTTTCTATATTTATTTGCATTTAGTAACCCAACTTTTGGCATTATGATTGTAGTTTGATATTTAGGCATTCACACTCAGATCAGCAGGTTGTTGTGTTTGTAGTTTGTAGTGTGCTGTCAACAGACAAGATGCAGAGTGCACTCGTTTCTTATGCCTCTTCCCTATTTTTTAAATTCTCATTTATTAACAGTTACAAATATTAATACAATTATTGGCTGAATATTGGAAACAAATATCAACCACCGATAAATCTTTAAGGCTTTAACCTTCACAATCCTACATAAAACTTATGGTAACCTTAAAAAAAAAAAGAAAAAGAAAAAGAGCACTTGTGGTTCTGAAATGTCTGAAACTAGACTTATTAAAAAAACCTGCACATAAAAAATGAAATTTTAAATAACCATCAGCATTTTTGTCAGTCAGTTTGGTAATAAAATGTAAGTGTGCAGAAAGAAGGACTGCCCTTATTTTCCTGACATACTCAAACAGAATAGAAATGTCTTCTTAGGAGATCACACCTAAAGAATTTGGTCCCAAAGCCAAAAGCTGGGAATGTCTTCCAAACTGTTCTTCAGTTGCCTTTAGTCTTACCCGGACATTTAGGCTCCCTCTAAATGTGCAGCAGTAAACAATTTCCGTTCTTATAAGTGTTCTTTTGTCACAATGCAGTGTGACTGTGACCTACTGTAAATTCTGTTACCTAAAAAATCTGCAGACAGCAGACAGACCACAGGATAATTACTGGGTCGTTCCATACTGCAAAACATCTTCAGCTCAGACGCTTTTGCTTTTACAGACTCTCCTGTCAACTCAACCATCTCCTGTTGTGTTAAAAAAAACTAACAGGGCACCGTGTACCTCACACTGCAGCTGTTAAAGCAAAAGAAGCTTCATGTCATTGCTCACTAATAATAAAGTATACTGGCAACTTTGAAGTATGAGAGTGTTGGAAGCTTTCCAATTAAATGCTCATCCTTCTTAGAGATAATTCAGGCTACAACATTTTACTGTGTTAAAATAAATTAAGTAGTCTAAAAATAGTATATGTTAATAGCATATAAATAATATCACACGTGCCAGATTGCAACTTTAAAGTTGGTTATTCGACTGTATGTAGTGCTGGTGTTTATAACACAGAAGGCCATTATGTTTTCAGAGAATCTATTTAAAATGCCCCCAAAGGCACCAACGGCACAAAAACTAAACATTGAGGAGGTCTAGCTTGATCATTTGAAGTAATAGATGCTGTCTAGGCTATGTCAGTCAAAGTGGCCACGTTCCTAATTCAGTTATCAAGGGTTAGGGTGCAATGCTGATGCACTGGTGCCTTTGTTAACCAGCCTTAGGTTGCCACTAGAGCAGGGGTGTCAAACTCAAATACACAGTGGGCCAAAATTCAAAACTGGAACAAAGTCGCGGGCTAACGTTAATATTTATTGAAATATATTTATTCCTCCAGATATAAGAATGAATCTCTTTTATGGACTCAAACACGTTTTGCTGAAAAACTGAATATGGAACAAGCAAAGCTTAATACTAAACTATATATATATATATTAGCTGTATAATACCAGTAGGCCAGCTCTAATAGTAATTTGGTATGGCTTCGCAGGCCAAATGTAATTAGGCTGCGAGCCAAATTTGGCCTGCGGGCCAGAGTTTGACACCTATGCACTAGAGGAACTGCACCGTTTTTGACTTTTTGACACTTTCATCAGGTAGCCTGCTTTAATAAAACTTGTCAGAAACTGAATTAAACATGTAGATGCAAATACACTTAAAAATAATGGCAGCTACCAAAACAACACAAAAAATAAATTCTGGCATGTTTATATATATTCTAATATTACTTCACTGTATCATTATACATATTTGTGTCTTCATACATTCACAAGATGGCTAACCCAAAGCAGAAACATCCCATCTAAAAATGGCTACTTCTGGCACATAGATAATAATGGATAAAATACAATAAACTACCTTCAAAGTAGAAATTCTCAAACTGGTGTCACATCACATTTCACCTCTTTAATTATTATTCACGCTGTTCTCATTGTAGCAGACGTTTTCCTGACTGCTAAATTAAAGTCAAAGTTAGCAGCTAGTTGGTAACAAAAAGAAAATTGTCAATCAATTTCTCAGTCAAATATTTCTTGGAAATGGCATCTATTGGATCAGTTAGCAAGAGGAAACTTGTCTAATCCAAACATCCTCTAGCATTATTAGCTGCCTCCATAATTCATCTATTATATTAATTCACAAAAAGAAAAAGTGAACTGGGAGTGTAACATTTACTTTTCCACTACCTTCTATCAAATCACTATATACAATCATCTTCCTTATTCTTTAGGTGACAACAAAGGGATTGTCATTTCTTCTTAAAATCCCACTGGCAGTTCCTTTAGCCTGATGTTGGGGTCGAGAATAACACCATCCATCCCAAATGTGTTAAGTCACTCTTTAACAAGATAATATTCCAATAAAATCTAATTAAACCTCCATCCAGAGTAGTCACAACTTTGACAATTACCGTACTGTAGCTCAAACAGAGGAGATAATAAAAAAAGTGAAAAGTTTGATAACCTTTCTATATGAGCAAATCCTAACGCTGTTTGTCTCACTTAAAGTATAGCCACTTAAAGCTTCTATTGCATCATAACGCTGAAACAGGATGATTTGAAATGAGTACCTCAGTGACATTTACTTAAATGCAGATAATTGGCTTCTCCTTCCATAAGACAAACATGCTGGGGCTTCTTGCTGGGCTGTGCAGGTGTTATGGTGGATAGATTAAATGGCCAAGTGAGTCATCATTAAAAGGTTAATTAAATGAATTTGGAAACCCAACACATGAACCAGTTGGAGCAGTGAAACTCTAGTTAAATTAGGCCAATTTCAGAGAATAATTCCACTGCAAAGCAGTTTATTATTGTTATTGTTATTATGAAAGTTAAGCAGCAGCATCATAGAGTAAATGAAGGCTGCTGGAGCCAATGAGACATATGAAAATGCAATATATCTGTCTGACCTCTTGTGAAGTTTTAATTAAAGATGTATAGTTATACATAAGTGTTTTTTAATCTAACTAATGCTTACGTACTTTAGATATTAATATGTTGAGTTGGCGTTATGTAACATAAGGTTGTATTTACAGTATTATGTAGACTTGTAGATATAATTAGACCACAGTGTTGACTTAATTGTCTCAATAACTACCATCAGTGGGAAAGACGTGAGCACTTATGCCTGCACTTGATACCTGGAGCATCTGTGGAGCGTCACGTAAAGGTTTATGTAATGAGTCTTTACCCTCTGATGATGTAAAGGATTAAAAATATGAATGTAGACTCTTCCTTAGTTACTAATCGCCAACACGTTGACTCCCATACTGCTATTAGCCAAAAACATGACATATCTGAGCATGCTGTGCAGTTAGTCCTTAAAAACGTGAAGAAAGTGGACACGTGGAGGGCAAAAGAAGAACAGGGAGGGCAAAAGAAAACTATTTACAGCAGATTAATAATACATAAAAGTCCTATCCTTAACAAATAGGAAAATAAACAGCAAAGATATGACACAAGACCTGAGGGCTGCATCTGCCCCTTCAGTTGATCCACCTATTGTTCACCAAAGGCTCATCAGAAATGGTCATCAGAGTGGATGTTAAGAAACCATTTTTAAGTAAGGGAAACGTGGAGAAAAGGCTGAGGTACACCAAATTACAAAACAAAATCTGTGGCTTCTTTTAACTTGGAAGAAGACAAAAAAGAGAGACAACACTGAGTGTCTAAAGACATCTGTAAAATAGTGGAGGCTGTGTCATGGTTTGAGGCAGTGTTAATGACCCTGTTAAAGTTCTGACCTCAACCTGATAACTCATATGCTGATGACCTACATTTGTTATGCTAAAAAACGCAGAAATAACACTGAAGCCATCCTGGAAACTACAAATCCTATTTGCAATAACAGACCTCCAATCCAACTGTTTGGTTCGAGTATTGACTTTCACTGTTTGAAGGTAACCATCACAGGTTTCAAATCAAAAAGTGTAACAAAAATTTATTGGAAAAAAATTGCTCTTTTTGGCAATGGAAGAATAAGGTTTTGATTGCACAGGATGAGAAGTACACACATTAAAACTAATACACACTCTTATTTAGTAGCTAAAAAAAAAAGCTCTACTACAATCTAGAGCAGCACTTACCACATTCCAAAATAAAGGGTTAAAAAGGATGGCAATCACAGCAATACACAAGCGGGAGTCGTAAACATGAATGTGTTTTAGGAAGGCTTCCAACAGCGTCAAGTCCATCTGAAAGAAATAACCACGGGAAAATAAGAGAAACAAAAAATTGACTTGTCAATTAAGGTCACATCCATTCCATATAACACGACAATAAATAACAGATGAACCTTGTTAACCAAGCTAACTAGCCAGAACTAGCATTAGATGACAATGCCCTGGCTCTACCGGCCAATTCCAAGCCAAGTCTACAAAACAATTTTGAGCTCATCTTTCATATACAGTCTATTACACATTATACAACCATCTTCCCTAATCTGACCAATGTGTCCTTGACTTATGGTTTGAACTGGCCAGTTACCGCGGAGTCATGCTTCATCAAAAGCTTTCGTACAGCGCTTTGATATTGAACAAGCAGGAGCAAAATAATCACAGATCACACAGTGAAACACACTGAAGGGTGTGAAGATTACTTTAATTAATTTTTATGAAGTGCAGCAACAGCAATAAAATTTCTTTCAACAGTAGGCTCCTCTGTGTGGTTTTCCACTTTATACCCATTGACGCCAGTGATGGAAAGCAATAAAATCAGTCCTTAGGTTAATGCCCTCTGTTTACTTTGGGTGTCTTCTGTGTTCTTCACAGTGTCAGCACCAAAAGGGAATTATAGCCAAAAGTACTGTGAGCCATTTTGCAATTAGTCAACAGGAAAGATCTGCAGACTTCATGATAGCATCGTCACTACATAAAATTGATTTCTTTTTAGCCTGAAGGCTTTGCTGAAGGAATGGTTTGGATTACAAGAGCTTGGAGGGGTTTGCAAACCCCTCTTCAAGAGAGGGGTTTGCAGTTCTTACATTACGAGGGTAAAACTGAATAAAACTGGCAAATGGTAAGTAAATATCTGCCAAGATTTAATGGAGCAGGACAAAAGGGTGGTAAAAACACTTCACACTACCGTGTGTTTTAATTAAAAGGCTAATCACAGCTAATCTTTTATCTGGAAGGATAAGAAAAGAGAAAAGGGAAATTGAACAGGTTGGCATTACTTTGTTGAGATATATGCAGCAGATAAGATGTTACATGCTCACAAGATTCTGTAGGCTAACAGCATACACAATTTAATTTTTGCATTTTGCGTCTTTACATATATTTATATTTGTCATGTGTGGAAATGAAGCTAAACATCTGCACAAAGTTGCCAGCCATCAACAGATACATACACAAATTAAAATATGAAAATAAAATTTTTAAAAAATTACATTTAAAAATGTAAATAAAAATATGATGGGCTGGGTTAGATAAATATAAATAAATAAATAACACCTAACCTTTAATCATTTTTTTAAATTTACTAACACATATTTCGTTTATGGATATGGAAAATGTAAAATGTTCTGCTTGGTATTTGTATTATTACTTCAATGATGATGAAGTTATCTTTGAAATGCACAATTTAATAGCTAGCAAACATGGCACTTTCCCTGCTCCATTTTTTAACCTGCGCCGGTTACATAATCTCTTCTGTTTTTATCAAAATAAGAGCATAACAATACCCTGCATGTGACAAAATATACATGTTATGGCTCAATTAAACAGACAAGAATTGTTACGTCTGTGTTTTATGCTGAAACTGCGTTGTACTGGTCATAGTAAACACGTGTTCTCCGAATGAAGAAAGTCGTGCATTTATTTTGAAATTACAAACTGTACCGACTGTGTTTTCCGGCGGTCAGGGCGGTTCAGTCGGTCTATCAAGAGACAAATGTAGCTTCTCAGGGAAGCGGAGCTACGTTACGCGGAACAACTTCCTGTGACACGGCTTCACTTTTACCTTGGAATAATCGACGTTGTTGAGCCCTCCGCAGCAGTCGAGCAGCGCGGGGTGGTTGTCTGTAGCAGGACTGTCGTTCCGCTCAGCGTCTGCGTTGCTGTCACTCATATACACGCAGAGTGGACGCTAACGGACACGCAGCACTCACACACCGGCGCGGAAGATAAGTGTTGCACAATAAACAGAGCAAAGTTCTAATTTATCACTAAAAACAGGCGGCAGTTGTGGGTATCTACACAAGTCCAGATAACCTCCAACCTTGCAGTGCATTGTGGGAAATGCGGTTCAATTTATTCATTTTATTTTATTTTATTTTATTTTTGCAGATGAAGAAAATAATAACAAAATAATGTTTTAATATTTATTTGAATATGTTTTGTAAAATACACCTGAACATTTAATATTTGATTTTTTTTTAATGTCCTTTTTTTTCCTCTTCTGTAGTAAAAAGGATCGCCTGTCGCTCTAGAGTGACATCTGCTGGATGTAGGACCCCCTCCCAGCTATAACCTCTATAAACCGTTCAGTTGTGAAACACATCAGTTTAAATGCAAGATTAAGATTGAAACTGATTTTTTTGTAAGTGTTTTTTCATTTTTTTAGAAGTCTAAATTAAAGGGTAATAACAACTGAAGCAGACCAATTCAGCTTTGTTTCCCAGTTGGCTGAAGTTAATCATTCCTCTTTCGTTTCTTCCCTCACTTCTCATGTTGTCTTTTTCTTCTTTAACTTTTATGTCCTTTCTTCCACTGAGTTTCGTTCTGCTTTTGCCTCATTTCTGTAAGCATCTTCTCTCCTTCCATCATTTTTCTTCTTCCACTGTTTCCAACTCTTTGTGTGTTTACAGTTCTCTTTTCCTGTCTCACTGTCTTTCATTGACCTCTTTCTCCCGACCTACTACCACCCCTGATTCCTTTTAACCTCGTCATTTTCTAATCTTTTTTAAAAATGTTCCTACAGCTCTTCTTCTTTCCTTTCTGCTTTCTTCTTACTCATCCTTCCACCTTGCTTTTATCATCCTATTCTCTGCTTTTTTCCATTACATTTTTCACACTTCCTTGTTGTATTGTCTTCCCATGACCTCTTCATTTGCATCCCTTTAATATCTTTTTTCCTGTTCCTGTTCAACATCTCAATCTTTTTTCCCTTCCTTCCTCATTCTCATGTATTCTCATTTAATCTATGTCCATACTCTATGTCCTCTCTATTTTCTCCACCTTTTCCTTTACACTGTTCTTTCCTTTTACACTTCATCCTCTCCTCCAACTGCCAGTGTTTGTTTGGAGTCAGTCATTAAGCAGAAGACACCCCATGTAGAGGGAGAAATAGAGGAAATGCACTGAAAGCCTTGCAGCTCCCTGACAGAGCATACCATCCATTTATCATCGCATGTAAGCCGACAACTTTGCCACATAAAATAAAATGAACGTGAAATCTGTGAAGATTATGGCCATAATTAAGATTCTCTTCCTTCTGTCTCATTCAGCTCTGCTTGTTTCTCTTCCTTGCTTCCTTGCTTCCTTGCTTACAACCTCCATAAGACACGTGTAATCACAACATTACAACCATTGTTGTGTTTGTGTGGCTAATATTCTGAAGCCTTGATGTTAGTAACAGCAGTGGTACAGTAACAGGTACTTCCAAAGAAATGCACTTAATATTTGATCATCAACAAGTGTGGCCACTTCAATAAAAGCTGAAGTTTTCAGTATGCAGGTCTGGAACATTAAAGTGTGTGTTAACAATATTCCTAGGAGTGGACATCCCACCAAATTTACCCCAAGGTCAGACCATATAGTGGTTAGAGAAACTGATAACAAAGCGCTACATCTTCGACTCTGCATCCCTCCATTAGCGGGTTAAATGTTAAAGTTCATGACAGTACAAAAAGACAGGAGGTAAAAGACTGAAAAAGTATGCCTGGGTTGCCAGAAAAAAGCCTCTTCTCTCTAAAAGAACATGGCAACATGGCTTAGGTTTGCAAAGGTGCATCTGAAAAAAATTACAAGAAAGTAACACTCGATAATACAGCTGTAATTAAATTGAATATCAGTGTATTTTATTTGAAATTGCAATGTAATTATAGTTACAACTGTAAGTAAGGTTATAATGATACTAGAATTTCAAACTACTACAAAAAGAACCCAGGACAATACTCCATACCCAATAACATTTTTGATACCATTGGGACGATTTTGACCTCATCCTGCAACAACAGAAGGAATGACTTAATATTCTGTCCTTGATTTGCAGTCCGCTAGCCGCTAAGTTAATAACAGGTGGTTTATGTGGCTATCGGGTAGCTGCTAACAGTTGAACGCCTAATGTTAACGTGTACGACTTCAAGGTGACATTTATATTGACTGTCTAATACTTCAGTGTTATTGAAATGAGAGCCGTGCAAGTTTTCTTCAGTGTTATGAATGTTAATTTCTTCAAGTGTTAGCGGGGAGAGGAGCTGTGTGCCTGTTTGTATGCAATGGTGCACTCTGAAGTACTGTGCCAGGTGGAGGAGGTGACAGGGGCACTGTTTATATTGATATTCTTGCAAATTAATATCAACTTTAGTGTCAAATAATATCTGAGTATCGGTTTTCTTTGACATCCCTAAATGTAAGTAAATTTAAGTAGTGCATAATTAATTTTAAATAACCTACTGCGTGATGTCCTGGTAATTTAGCAGAAAAACAGACAATATTTCCCCATCTTAGATACAGGGGCGTTTCGGGCTTACAGTATACTTAAAGTATACCTGGAAATTAGACAAGATGGAGCCACTCCATAATACAGCTCACGCCCCAAAAAGTACAGCATACTTACAATGTGAGAGAGAATTTTGGCTAAAATACAGTTAAATTCCATTTAATTACACCCTTAGGGCCAGGCCATTCTGGGACAATGTCCTTCAGATAGAGATGATTGCCCATAGTGCACTTTTGGTAAAAACTAGCCACAGCATATTAACAGAAACACCTCATGTCAAATATCAAACACTGACATGAAGAAGTGATGAAGCCACAGGATCTGGGCACCCTGCAGCCATTAAGCTGACCGTGAGCTCTTCTGTATTCTAGATTCAAATATGAGGCCATCTGTCCAACAGCTAAAGCTTGGTCCAGACTGATTTTTCCAGCGGGACAAATATTCCAAGTAAAACAGCAAATCTACAACAAAATGGCCAAAGAAGAAAAGAACTGAGGTGCAACAATGACCCAGTCAAATTCAAGACCTCAGTTGGATTTAGATGCTGTGCTGGGACTTAAAGATAGCTGTGAATAAAGGTATGCCTGCAAATTTCAATGAACTGAAGTAACACTGTAAGTAAGAGTGGGAGATTGATCAAATTTAATCAGCCATTCACACTGATATTAACTGAAATATTTTACCTGCTGCAAAATATGCTCAAGTGCGTAAATATGGCTCTATGAATAGTATTTTATTGCAAGCAACTGTGAATAAGCAATATGTGGAAGTGATTGAGAGACACTAAAGTGACTAAAGATAACTGCACTATTCCTAAGCGACTTGTCAGTTGTAGGATAATAATACATTTTCTTAGTCACTTTAATACCCTGCTTTATTTTTATGCTCTAAGTAGCAACATCATTTACAAAATAAACATTGTGCTGTGTTGAAGATACTTTATAGCAATTGAGATGATAAAATGATGATAAACTCATTCAATTCATAAAATAAATAATTAATTATTCATTCCAATAACAAATCGTACATTTTGCAGCTGAATTTCCTACATGACTAAACTGTCTTTTTCAATAATATAATCTGTTACCTTATTTACTCATTCTTATTGGACAAAATTGCTGCTGTGGTTATTAAATTTAGTATGCAGGACCAGCAGAGATTTAAGTCATGTGTTCTTAAGCAATGGCAGTAGCTGCTTGCATCACTGTGACTGTACAAATGATGGTTTTTTTCCCCCAAAGAGAGTGACTGTCATAGCAAATGTTTGATTCTAACTTTCCTCCTTCATTGCTAAGGATCATGAAAAAATATCACATGTCTCTATTTCTTTGCTCACTAACATGATGTATGTTTTAATATAGTTCTTCTCAGAACCATATTTCAGTGTGTGCTTCAAAACAAAATTAGGACAATTCCTCCACCATATTTACTGTTTTACATTTGGCTTTGACACTTTAACACCTCTCTCCTTCGCACACATCGATAACAATTTGATCCAAAGATTTCAAATTTTGATTTATGGATTCATTGGACTCAATTTGGCCCTGCGACAGACTGGCAACCTGTCCAAAGTGCACCCTGCCTCTCATCTACGACAGCTGGGATAGGCTCCGGCGCCCCCCTCGACCCTGAAAAGGATAAGTGGAAGCGAATGGATGGATGGATAGATGGATTCAATTTGGCATACCTTTTCTCCCTCTTTCATAAGAATGGCTGCTTGATAGCCACCTTTCAGCTGAGACCTTCTGATGAGGGTTTGGCAAACAATAGATCGATCAGCTGAATGGCTAGATGCATCTGTCAGGTCCTGTCAGGTCTTGTATTTCTATTTCTTATGGACCTGACTTCCAGATACTTCTTATTTGCTGTGGACAGTTTTATGACTGCAACTTCTTTTATTTCCTCTTGTCCAGTTTCATTTTGCCAAGATAGGCCACTTTTTCAGTTAATAGCTCTATGCCAATCACCTTATTGCTGCAAAAATACGACATTATGATTATCAAACTGTGATATCGAAAGAAATGCAAAATGTAAAAATGGTTATTTTCTAAGTTGTCTGTTACATGTAGGCTTAGGTGACTTTAATATGTTTGAATAAGCCTTAGGTCATTTTTAAATGGCTTAACATATTCCCCTGCAAATGGTTGTATATAAGCACTATACTGAAAATGAGTGAAAAAGCAACAATACCATAAGAAAAGATCTTGGTCCTGGGAAGCAACATAAAAAGAAATGAGGGATTTCTCATAAAATTTGTGCAGTACCTTTTGCTTAAGTAAATGCACAAAAACAATTTTGCGGGGTTTAGCTTGAGAAAAAATAGATGGCTTCAATGATTATGGTAACAGGCCGTTACGCCATCCCCCCTGTGTTTTTTGACCCATTTATCCACCACGAGGTCCTCACTGCACAGCCGAGGAGAGTTTGTTGGCTTTATTTCGGCCGCATTTATTACACACACCTGTCAAAAAACGACGGTGCACCTTTGATTACATAGCTGGCTGAATAATGGCATAGACACATCTGGTCAAAGTTTTGAAAGGCCTGTTGGGTTTG